AGCTCATATGTAGTTACCTTTTTAAATGCAAGATGTACAACTCTTGTTTATATGTTATATAAACAAGGTATTTTTTTCCTTATCTGTCATTCTTTTTGAAACTATGTCTTTATTCTTATACACACAAATAAAATTGAGTACAATAGTTGCCCTTTATCTGCAGTTTTACTTTCTAGTTTCAGTTGCCCACAGTTAACTGCAATTCAAAAACACCAAATGGAAAATTCCAGAAATAAACAATATATAAGTTTTAAATTGAAAGCTTTTCTGAGACGCATAAGGAAATCTCACATCAGTCCACACCACTTTGTCCCACCTGGAATGTAAGTCATCCCTTTGTTCAGCATATCCAGTTGTCACTTGTAGTAGCCTCAGTTATCAGATCAACTGCAATAGTGTCACAGTCCTTGTCTTCAAGTAACCCTTACTTTGCTTAATAACAGGCCCAAAACGTAGAATAAGTGATGTTGGCATAATGTTATGATTTTCCTATTTTATTACTATTGTTCTTAGTTTTGTACTATGCTTAATATATAAATTAAACTTTATCAAATGTATGTAAGTATAGGAAAAATATAGTATATGTAAGATTAAGTACTTTCCATGGTTTTAAGCATCTGTTGGGGTTGTTGGAATGTATTCTCCATGGATAAAGGGGGACTACTGTGTTTATCTAGCTCTGCTTCTTTCAAAGTTTTAACAAGTACAGAATTGTGTTATACATTTCAAACTTAGTTTTTTAATCACCTAGTAGCAATATGGGTTTCAGTTTAAAGAAATATCACCAAGATAAGAGACTTAGTGAAATTTTACTACTTATTGAAAGAGTGAAGAAGGCAATTTCAGGCAAAGCCAGATATCTGATAGTAAATCTCATTAGCCCCATATCAGCTCTTCTTTGCAAATCCAAGCACCATGCTGTTAGCAATAAACTGAGATTCTAATGCCTTTCCAGGACTCCCAATTACAATGTTAAATACAAGTGTAAATAATTAAATGTACATATATTTAACCTGAATTGCCCAATGGATATGCTGTTATCACTTTCTGCCTCCCACCAAACTTTGTCAGTTGTTGGTAAAATACTGACATGGTAATAAAGAAAAGGGGGAAACAAAGGTAGTCAGAACATGATAGCCCCCATAGTGCTTAATCCATAAAGCAGGAAACACAAATTGGTGAATTGGAGCGATGACATGGTTACACTGAACTACAGAAAAAGGCCCCTTAGGGGACTAGCAGGAAGTAAATTGGGTTCTATTTTGAGATGATGTTTCATCTACATTGTTGTAATTATTTAAATAATTAATTTCATAATGAGAGAAGCTTATAAAAGCCAAAGCCATGCTGAGTTGCAAATCTAAAATTCTCTGATGCTAAATCAGAGGCGTTTGTCTGCCATAATACATACTTTATTATTTTAAAAATGGCATAGTCTTTCAGTATTGCAGAGGCTGACTTGCTAGGCTTTTCTTCTAACCCAGACCAAGCAGAAAGAAGTTTTTTCCTTGCCAAGAAAACATGAAATGTTCATTCACATCCAGCTTAGGCAGCCAAAAGCCCTATAAAAAATATAAGGAGGATATGCAAGGTCAGGACCAAGGAGTCTGAAGGGGCAGAAAGTTGCTAGAATGCAGTGAATCTGGTCTGTAAGGCAACTGTCAGTCTACAATAAACAGGTCAAGACTAGGTGTGAGTCAGAGCATATTAAATAAAGGCAGTGAGTTAAACACCACAAGGTCAGGTTAGATGGATAACCCTAGAGTCTCAGGAGGTTTTGAAAAACAGAAGGTCAGCAAAGACTGAGAATGTGGGAGAGAAACACTACGAAATCAAACACATAGAAGGAAAATCAACTTGACTTTATGGCAGATTTATTTTTTGCTTGCCCTGTCAGAAGAAAAAAAACAAAACAAAACAAAAAACGAGTGTAATTCTAGGCGTGAGCACTTAAGTGAGACATATAAGGAGAAAGTTTGAAAATTCAATAAATAAGTAAAATTATTTTTCTAATCTCTTTTGTAGTCTCTCCTCATAGGGATATTCTTCCCTCCAATTCTTCACTGACATTAACACTGATATTATACTCTCTCTCCAAGTGACTCAGCATTTGCCCTGCTCTCAATTGTGTGCATGTAACAATAATAGCTTCATTGTTCTAGTTTTATCTCTATGCCGTTGACCTTCACTTTTATTCCACTTTAGCCATTTGCTTCCAATACTGCACCCTCAATTTTCTCATTTCCTGAACTGCTCTATCCCTGAAGTCTTAAACACATGCTATTCCACTTTCAAGCAACAACTGCCCATCCTTCACCTAATTTCAAACCTCGCCACTGTTCCTCAACCTTATCAAGATTTAGAGATACTTTATTCCTGCTTTTTCTAAATCTTTGTAGTTTCTCTTCTTCCTTGCTTCCTTTTTTGGTTATTTCTGGGAAGCAGGACAACATAGGGGTTAACAGGATAACACAGTGATAAAGAATGCCTGAGTTTGAAATCCAGCTTCTTCACTCTTTAGAGTCAATCTAAATAACAAACAGAGGTTTTCTAAAACAGTATCTATTTGAAAGTAAGACATTGCAATGAGAGCATGCATACCATAGTAAACAATGTGCGTATTCATGGAAGGAAAAGAAGACAAAGGTTTTTGAAGGAAAAACATGAGGATTATATAATTATTTTGAGATAATTATTCTTGGCTATAAGGATCAGTAACAAGGGTGGCACCATTCTGGGGCTGGACAGGCAGTTGCTGGGAAAATGTCTTCCCAGAAGTGTTTTATTGTGTAAGGTTGTAATGACCTTTGTGAGAAGTTGTGGTTTTTGCAAAATATTTTCTGGTAGTTTTTGTTATCAAGCATTTATGCTTAAGAACCCTCTCTTGATGGCCTTTCCTGGCTCTATTTGTCAGGGTTTACGTTTTTGTTGTTGTTTAACATAAATAATTCCATTTTTATTCTCACAGAATTCACATTTCTCCCTTTTGACAAAGATCTTTCTCTAAAAGCCTCAATGATTAAGCATCCTGTAGTCAGATTTGGATTGTTCATCAGTGTCAGGATGGACCTGCCCCAAGTTTCTGGTCTGGTCCCACATGGGAAGAAGTAATTGGCAATGTCAAAACCCTTTCAGCAAGTAGGGAGGTTTGAAGGGAGTGACTTTCAGGTTAAGTTCACCTGGAGCCCATTATGAAGTTCAATTTTGTCTGTTCCATGGTCTTTTGCTATCATCTCAAAGTGCTGGGTTAGCACTATTCTTTTAGGAGTTGTACTTCTGCAAAAATTTAATAAGTAACAGATATAAAGCTTTAAAAGGGAAAATACAAAGTAAAACTAATAGTTATTGACAATCCCAGTTTGCCTAATGATTTTGAGCTGTGAACTTAGGTTTAAAGGCTAACAATTGAATAAATCAAGTGACCATTATCCTGTCAAGTGAAAAGATAGGCATTAAGAGAGGTAGTCCCATTATGACATGGAGCCTTATTCTGATGTTTTGGTAAAAGCTGTCTACAGTGTGAAAACATCAACTTCTTATTCTGGTTTGCAGTTTAAATGTTTCTGGCTAAGACAGGTGGCAATTTGGTGAACCTTTGTATGGCCCATACATTAAGCATGAAAGTTGTGTTTTAAAATTATAAAATGATTATCATCTACAAAATACTGATATATGACAGTTCAAAATTAATTGTTTCCTAGGTTTTCATGAGAAAATGTTACTAAAAGTTAAAATTCTAACTAATATAATGTAATTATGTATATAAATTGTATCTAAAAAGTAAGATGTGTTTTAATGAGAAAAACCATATGAAAGGCATAAATATGTGCTCTTTATTGAGGAAAAATCTTAATTTTGTCTAATTTAGATATTCTTTCAAGGTTATTACAAAAAATAAATTTAGGAAGGGAATAGAAACAAGATAGGACCCAGTAAGTAGGAAAGAGAAATGTGAAGAAAGTTATGAATATGAAAAAGCATTTTTGTTAAAAGTCAAAAATAAAAATAAATAATTTGTATAAAAAAGAAAATTGTGTGGTAAATTTTTGTCCTAAATTACAATGACTGTTTATCTAAGAAAGAGGAATTATAGGACAAAGCAAAAGTCCATGCATGTCACCAAAGATTCATGCAGGTTGTCAAAGGTTTGTGAAGGATGAATTTATAATATAAATTTTGTGTATGCCCTAATTGGCTATAATTTGAAGGGACGTATTCATAATTATTTGTAAAGACTGATCTTTGATATTAAAAATACTTTGATGCAAAACTAAATATTTAGCATTTGTTTAACTTTTAAGTTCAGAGGTACATGTACAGTATGTATAGATTTGTTACTTAGGTAAATGTGTGTTATGGGAGTTTATTGTACATCACCCATAGTCATTTATTTAGAAACAATAAGACTTTTCTGAAATATTGATCTACTCTCAGAATATTTGCCAAAGTTTTTGATCTTGAATTTCTGTAGCTTTTTTCTGCTTTATGGACTTCATTTAATTTCCCTAGTTTCAGGTTTGTAATGCTTCTTTTTTATTTAGAATGATAATTTTATATCTGCAAATAGAATTTTTCTCTTGAAGCTTCTCAGATTCGTATCTCAGAAGTTCACGTGATTTGCAGTTCATGCATCATTGCCTTTTGCTCTTCCTCTTTCTCCCCTTGAGAAGGTCTGAGACAATAACTTTCTTCATCTTTTTCATTGCCTCTTGTAACATTTGCCCCCAGTTCTAACTCTGCTCTTATGGCCTGATGCTGAAATATTAATCTTAACACCTAAAAAAGCAATCTTTTCCTCTAGTAAAATTTGATTCTGTACTCTTAGCTTTTTTGACATGTCTAAATTGTTTCATCTAACGAGGAAATTTTACATGTTTTTACTTTTTCTAATATCTATGTATTCCCCTGCTCGAGGTACTAATTTCGTCATTTACATTCCTTAATAATGTGATTTACATTCATAACCTTGGACACACATTCTTCTGGTTAAATTCAAATACCTTTTCGTCAGGTTCAACTTCCAGGAGTCACTTACAGGGAAAAAAAAAAAAAAAAAATGTACACAAACAACAAAAAGCAACAAGAACAACAGCAATAAAAAATGACAAATAGAGCTAGGAAAGGTAATAAAGAGAAGATTATCATGCAAAAATGTCTGATAATAAAAAGTATCACAAAAGACCACAATCTTGCACAAACGCCATCACAACCTTACACTAAAAACAAAACAACTACTGGCCGGGCGCGGGGGCTCACGCCTGTAATCCCAGGACTTTGGGAGGCCGAGGTGGGTGTATCACGAGCTCAGGATATCGAGACCATCCTGGCTAACACGGTGAAACCCCGTCTCTACTAAAAATGCAAAAAAATTAGCCGCTGGTGGCAGCCGCCTGTAGTCTTAGTTACTCAAAAGGCTGAGGCAGGAGAATGACGTCAATCGGGAGGCGGAGCTTGCAGTAAACCGAGATGGCGCCACTGCACTCCAGCCCGGGCTACGGAGCAAGACTCCATCTCAAAACTAAAACAAAACAAAACAAAACAAAACACAACTACTTCTGCAATGACATCTGCCTAGCAACGGCCTGTTCAACCCCAGAATAGAACCACGCTTGTTCTTGTAGCCAAGGTAATAATTATCTCAAGGTAATTATGTAATCATCCTCACTTTTTTCTTAAATCTTTGTTGTCCTTTACCTTCCTAAATATGCACACATTTACCATGGCGTGCGTATTTCAATTTCCAAATAAATATCATTGTATTTTAGAGAGCAACTCCCCCTTTGTTATTTAAGCTGACATAAATGGTGTCCAGAAGAAGAACTCAAGAAAGATCACTTCTGGTAGAAATCAGCCATTTCTAGAACTAGTGTGTAGTACCCATTTGAGCCCTTAGCGCTCTCTGCTTCTGCAGCTCACCTTTCCTTGCATGGGTGAGTCTTCTTTCAGGTTGAGCCATACTCTTTTTGCTTGAAGATTTTGACTTTATTCAGGATCTGATTTGGATAAGGGAGTCTTACTAGACGACCTTACATCCCGCCTGGAATGGTGAAAGACTACCTTTTCTGGAAACTTTGTATCTGGTATAAATACAAATGTCTTTCTGGTGTGAGTGCTCTTATTTTTACAGAATTTATGTTCTGTCTGTAAAGCCTGTATTCTCTGACAAATTTATTTTGAGTTTTTTCTGAGACCAAAAATAAACATTTTAAATAATCGGTACAGAATGGCTAGTTAAAAGCCAGCAGGGCAGCAGCTGTCGCCATCTAAAACACTGGTCCAAAATCCTCTAACATCCCTTGATAAAACTTATGGGATTTCCTTTGCTCTCAAATGATTAATATAAAATGGAAAGGGATTCATAAACATTAACACATGCCAGGTTTTCTGGGACTCCAGGAGTCTACTTATTATGACTCATTCTCGTGTACATTTTTATACTGATGGGCAAATTAAATAAAAGAAAATTCAGAACCCAAATGATCATCATTAAAACCCTCTATGAAAATCTCCAACTACAGAATTAATATATGGAGCCTTTTAAGTTCTCTCTCTACTTTTTTTTTTTTTTCTGCCTACTTTGAATCTGCTGACTCTTCCGCGGGTGTTGTGAGAAAACTCATTCTTATGGCATTTTAGCCAAGATAAAAAAGATTTTTTTTAAGTTTTAAAAGGCAGTCGAATTAATGATTTTAAAAAATTACAACAGTTCGATGGCAACCAACAACCTAGACACTTTTTGGAAATGGAAATTTAAGTTTGCCTGACTAACAATTGCTTAGAGTGATAGAACAGTTAATGATGAATTGATGGTCTAAAAGAAAAGAAGCAGATAAATATTTATAAAAGGAGCTCAGATCATGCAGGTTAAAATATTGAGCTCGGTGAAAAAACATAAAGTATGCCTGTCAAGTATAAAAATTGCTTTGTCTACCAACTTTTGGCTAATAAATTTGACAATCTAATTGTCATTTGGATGAAACAGAAATAGTTCTAGAAAAATATGACTTATCAATACTGAACAGAAATAAAATAAATTTTGTTTGCCATATTTCTGGGGAAAGCATGGCTTTTTCTGCCACTCAGGGACCAGAAAAAGTGCTAAAGAAAATAAAATAAAAGTGCTAAAATGCTTTCTCTCTTGCATTGACTAATCCAGCAATCCAGACTGGCAAACAAAAGATAGGTTTGGTACTAAAAATTTCACACTAGTTAAAGATTTTATTTTTCTTGTGCAATTCAACTCATCATTGCTGAAATTGAAAATTTAACCCTAAACTCAATTGAAACTAAAAATAGGGGTGAATAAAGATAAAATATATTTTTTGAAAACAAACTGCTTTACCCAAAATTTTGGTACACAGCCCTCATTAGATTATCATTTCTCTTAGTCTTCAAATTCTCTTATCTTTTTACTTCTGCTTTGCTGCTTTTGGTGAGCCTCTCCCTATTTTTTATTTAGTTAACATAACTGTGACAGCTGCAAATGAAGTTTAGCCATGTGAACAGGTCCAATTTTGTCAGAAATATAACTTGAATCCAATAGTCTTTTATAAGTTGTTGAGTTTGTATTACTATCTCATGTTTAAAATTTTAAAATAAAAGCCATGAGATTTTTATCTCTATGTGTTTATGTGTTTGTGTATGTTTATGCATATGTACATATATTATGTCATGTGTTGTGCCTACATGGTAAAGATTTTGTATAGTCAACCAGAAATCCCTTAAGGAATTCCGCTCAGATTGAGTGTGCGGTGGCTCACGCCTGTAATCCCAGCACTTTGGTAGGCCAAGGCAGGTGGATCGCGAGGTCAGGAGTTCGAGACCAGCCTGGCCAACATGGTGAAACCCCACCTATACTAAGAATACAAAAATTAGCCAGGTGTGTTGGTATGCGTCTATAATCCCAGCTAGTTGGGAGGCTGAAGCAGGAGAATCGTTGGAACCTAGGAGGTGGAGTTTGCAGTGAGCCGAGATCACTCCACTGCACTCCAGTCTAGGCAACAGAACAAGACTCTGTCTCAAAAAAAAAAAAAAAATTTAATAAAATAAAATAAATTAATTCAGGGGTTCGCTATAGTCTTCAAGAAAAAACAAAACAAAACCCTTAGCATATATATGCACCCTTTTTTGCCTGTTTAGCAGTGTGGAGTTAAACTGCTAGGACTCTCTCAAATCCATGGTCATATGCACTTCTTAGCTCTGTGCCTCCTATAAATTACTTTACCTATATAATACATAATAATCTAATAATTTAACTCCTAACTACTTCTTGATGTGCCTTTATTTATCTTTCCTTGGGCTTAAAATTCTTTAATTCTATTTCTCATCTATTTACTTTGGTAACACATGATAAATGATGAATGGGATGACTAATAACTTGTGTTAATTACTTTACAATTATCATTCATTAGATTCTCTCCATCAGTCTTTGTGGTAGGTGTTGTAATCTCGACTTGAACATGAGAGATACCATGAATTACAGAGGTGAAGGTATTTCTCAAAGTCAAATGTCTAATTAGTAAGGTAATTATGATTCAAGTCTAGATCTTTCATTCTCCAAATTCTCTGCCCTTTGTACTTCTGTTTTGCAGTCTCTTAGAGGAAAAACAGCTGACACAGTTATGGGTACCTCCATTTCTATTTCTAACTAAAACCCTAAACTTTACAAGTGGGTGAGCACATGAGAATTTCATGCCACTTGACCAGTGTTCCTCAAAAGTTTCACTTATGGGCAATTTTTATTAGCCTCTGTAAGGGTGATTTAAAATACAAATCTTCAGGCCGGGCGCGGTGGCTCAAGCCTGTAATCCCAGCACTTTGGGAGGCCGAGACGGGCGGATCACGAGGTCAGGAGATCGAGACCATCCTGGCCTACACGGTGAAACCCTGTCTCTACTAAAAATACAAAAAACTAGCCGGGCGAGGTGGTGGGCGCCTGTAGTCCCAGCTACTTGGGAGGCTGAGGCAGGAGAATGGCATAAACCCGGGAGGCAGAGCTTGCAGTGAGCTGAGATCCGGTCACTGCACTCCAACCTGGGAGACACAGCAAGACTCCATCTCAAAAAAAAAAAAAAAAAAAAAAAAAAAAAAAAAAAAAAAAAAAATACAAATCTTCAAACCTAGATCTTCCAAGAGGATTCTAATGGACATGAAGAGAACCACTGGCCAAAAATGAGAAATTAATATACAAGATGTAATCACAAATTGCCCAGTTCCTAAATGTGATACTCATAGATAATATGCTTATTTCCACATGCTTTTATCAAGCTTATGACTGGAAAAGAATATCAAGAAAATGACTACAACAGTCATTGCATGGAGTCTCCCTAAACTGGAAAAAAAAGGAAGAAGAAGGAATTAAATTTCATTTTTTTATTGCTGAGCCTATGTGGTATATATTGCTAAAATTCATTGATATCCCTTTCCTTTCTATGTCCAAATAGGAGAATTGTCCCTTCCCACATATGAAGTAAGGCATGGATATATGACTTGCTCTGAGCACTTAAATATGAGCAGAATTGATGTTAGGCATTTCTCGATACATAGAGTCATTTAATTGGTTTTGCTTATCTTTCTAAGTATCTCTTCTCTGACTCCATGATCACAAGATCATATCTACATGTGGATGTACACAATAAGCCATCATATAAATAGCCACTGTTCTGAAGAGATGCTGAGGCTCACACTGAACATCCAAGAAGAACTAAACCTGTAAGATTTATTTTATATTTTTTGTCTCATTTTTTGTCATTATAACAAAAACTGTATCAGTATCCCGACTGATATAGGATGTGTTCATATTACATTTAGTAAGTGAATTTTATTAAAACAAAACCACACACACACACACACACACACACACACACACACACACACCCTCAATTCACTGAAAATAGTCTTCCAATTAATTATTTAACTAAAGCAGACATCATTGGTCAGCTAATTCACTTTGAAGAGTAGATCCAGTTACACCTAGGAAATAAAAAATTTCTAGCCTTATTTCAGAGAGTACAGTCTCCAAAGAAGTAAAGTGAAAACAATTAAGTGAAATAATCTTCAGTGCTGGAATTATCAAGTAATTAGATTAGCTTTAGGATGCGTGCCACTACACTAGGTGTTATGGGGTTTTCAAAGCTTAAAATTTATCTCCTCTGAACTCTTTGACTCAAAACAACCTTAATTACAATAGTATTTCCCAAGACTAAACCTTATAATGCTATTCAGGACCGAGTTGGTTATTAAAAGATTTC